ACTTGTAGTGTTGATGAAAGTACATTACACGTTATTGATACAACTATTGGCACAAATGAATGTACATTTTCTGTTAATGAATAGCAAAAGGTGTAATATCATGATATCATCATCACCATCATCAGTAATATCATGATATCATCATCACCATCATCATCACCATCACTATCATCATCTCATCATCACCATCATCAGTCGTCATCATTATCAGTAATACTATGAAATCATCATCACCATCGTTTTAGTACATCATACTCAAAGAGTGGTTCCCCATCTGCAGCCATTCACGCACCGTACCGTTCAGTACATTCATTCCAAGCACACAATGCCATTATTTATCCATTAATTATTGTTTAGCAAAAATCTTACCGGGCCCACGTCAGGATTTTTGAGTGAAATCTTGTAAGTGTTACCCTTCTTGAACGTGTGTTGCGTAGGGTAACCGTCACGCAACATTATCTTTCCTGTCTCGTCGTCTTCGCCAAATATCTTGAAGTATGGACTCACTCCAGGGTCAATCACTTCTCCAACCTTACATACGACTATGAATTCACAGGGGGAAAAAGAGAAAAGTTTAATGTCACGCTCAAAGATATTGTGCGGTGTATGAGAATGCGTGACTTCAGGGTCGATCACTTTTCCGACCTTACACACAACTATTAATTCAAAGGGAAAAAAGAGAAACGTTACATGTCACGCACGTGCGATGTGTAAGAAATCGTGATTGCGTGTAACGCCATCTGAGTCTTCTTACCTGTATACATCCCATCTTGGTCTCTTGGCTTTACCTTAACTGTATGGATATAATAATAWTTTTTTTTACATAAATGATACTGGTACTGTGACTGTCCTGTAAACTACGGGTTATCGTACAGTCCACTTTTATGGGGAGGGACGTGACTGGGTAATGACGAAGCGGGATCCCTGTGGAGGGTGTGTAACTAATAAGAATGCTTTTAGGGGTAAAGGACGGGAGTGGAGAGCGTAATGGCTATGCGGGATCCCTGTGGAGTGTGTGTAACCAGAAGCTGTGAAGCCATAACATTAATAAGACTGCTTTTAGGAAGTGGAGATGGTAATGATTATGCGGGATCCCTGTGGTAGGTGCCGGTACATACCAGCTGTAAAGTCAAGATCAGGAGACGCGTCTGTCAACCACTTGTTACAGTAGAATATGTAATGCTCGTCTTTTTCTGGGATGTCAATCCTGACTTTCTCCAGTTGCCAACCAGATCGGGTGCCGGTGTTATCACGACTGACGCGAATGCTTTCCAACTGCATTGACATACCAGAATTATTTGTTAGATTAGACAATGTGTATATCATTATTCTCGACGTGATTATCATCATCATTAACATCGCTACTATCCCCATAATTACCATTATCCATTATCACCATGACCATTATCATTACCATCTTATCATTAGGTATCATCACCACCATCATTATCATCTTCTTCATCATCTTCATCATCATCATCACTCATCATCACCATCACCGTCATCATCACCATTATTATGATTGCGATCTTAACTTAAGGTATCATCACCATCAAAATCATGTCTATCATCCCTCATCATCATCATCATCACCATCACAGTCAACATCACCATGACCATCATTATCGTTACCATCTTATCTTCAGGTATCATCACCATCACCATCAAAACCATCATCATAATCAACATCACCGTCATCATCATCATGACCATTATCATCACTACCATCATCATCATATGCAATCACCACCACCACCACCATCATTATCATCCTCTTCATCATCATCATCACTCATCATCACCATCATCATCAAAACAATCATCATAATCAACATCACCGTCATCATACAAACAGGTTTATCATTCATCAACATCATCACAATMAACGGGCATCATAAACACGCGTATCATAGGTAGAACAAGTCCCACCTGTCCAATGTCCTTTGTTCTGATGGCAAACTCATCTGTTCGTCCTCTATCGAATCTACTCTTGTCTCCTTCTTCACGCAGCAGGAACTTGCTGGTTTGTCCTTCTTCACCAAACATTTGTAGGAACACGTTGGCATCTGTTCCAGCAAGAGGGTCGTCTCCAGTCTTGACTGTAACTCGGTAATCCAAATCTGGTAAAAGAAAAGTCAAAAATTCTTTCATTCTCTTCTGTATTATTTCTTTTGAGAATATTTTTCGTTTGAGCTGTATGTATATTCATGTGTCTTCTCATCTGCAACCGTTCAACAAAGAAATGATACTCAAGGGAATGATATGTGGTCTATGGGAAAACAATACAAACTAAAAAGGTCTGTGTCGTTCATTTGATTTACCAACTGAAAAACAGGCTTACCTTGAACTTTGTCTGAGCGATCTGGTTCTGCGACACAGAAAACAAAAATATTCAATTTCATGACAAATTCAAATACCTAACTAATGCATTTACCACTCGGCAATACCTAAAAGGATTTGCAACCCAATTAATATAAGGAAGCCGATATGGATCAAATTAGAATTTAGAAGTTGATAAAGAACCAACAAACAACTCTACTCACATACGACACCGAGGGCCGGTAAGGTCGAATTGGTGAGAGGCGGCGTAGTAGCAGCGCATGCGCACGCCACCCGTGCTTCTCCATAATTTATATTTATATATAATAAAGTTAAAGTACTTCAAATAGCAAGGGACCATATTGTTACTTACCAGCGGCAACCTCTACCACAGGRTTCCTGCCACCTATCCATTGGTTAATGTTGAACTGATAATGTTCGTCTTTATCAGGGACATCAATGTTGACCTTCTGGAGGTACCATTCAGGACTTACCCCTGTGTTGTCGTGACCCACTCGAAGACGGTTTATCTGATATTCAAAGGTAATCACACGATTTAGTTAAACAACTACAAGTCTAGTATTYAAGAAGGTAAAAAGAGCAAGAGAATGAAATATGTGAAAGATAAAGGCGCTGAAAGAGGAGATATAGATCCCTTGCAGCACGTGCACGTTGGAATGCAGCTCAATTTGGAGGACTTAACAATAGGTTTCCAATAGTTCCCTTCACAGTTCCCTGTGCCATCTTGAAAGGTAACCGTGCCTTTGCATCGAAACGAGACGAACGGTGAGTTTGCAATGAAAGAGACATGTGAATAAACGTTCAAGGAGTTAAAAAGGTCTCTATCAGGGAACTGGGAAAGGGACTATTTTTAGGAGATTGTAATTCTTTTGTTTTTGTCCTTCAAATTGAGCTGCTTCGACGTGTCATGCAAGGGGTCTGTTAGAGCAGATTTGCAAAATCGACGGCGACGTCAACCGGAAATATAAATAACTTTACTTTTGGGTTTCGCTCCTTCAAAGTCTATCTTCACTGTGTGGATGAGATACATTTTGCTGAACATAAAAGCAAAGAATAAGCATAGAATAAACTTACTTTGCCAACGTCTTTGGTTTCAACTTTGAACTTATCCTTTCCGCCAGTCTCGAATAGTTTAAGCGATTTGTCTTCCTGAAGCTGAATTTCTTCTGTGGTTCCATCGTCGCCGAATATCTGGAAGAACACGTTGGCGTCTGTACCAGACTCGGGTAAGACACCCGTCTTGAATGTAACGTCGTATAAAATATCTAGCATAAATGAATAAATGAATAAATGAATAAATGAATAAATGAATAAATGAATAAATGAATAAATGAATAAATGAATAAATGAATAAATGAATAA